GAGCGAGAGAGAGAGAGAGAGAGAGAGCTTACCGTTGATTAAACCGATAGCAACTACAACACAAATAAATTTAAAGGCAAACATTATTTTTTAAATGTCTTTTTGTTTTAATTTAGATTAAAAGTTGTTAAATAAAGTGTATAACAATTTGTTTAAATATCACCAATATTTATACAAACATCGATAAGCATTGCAATCTATGTCTAAAATTAAAAATTGTTATATTTCGACTTGATTAATTGAACACTTGTGCACGGTTGATTGAACAAATTAATTATTGCAATAAAACACTTTGTTAGTTATGGCAAACATAAATTCGCATAATTTTTTAATTTGCAATTTACTAAATTGATTATATTTAAAAAGTTGATTAAAATAGTAGGTCAGTTAATGCATTAATGATAGCATAACAATTGAAAATAATATGTATAAATAATTTAAATCCTCATTCAATTGATATTATTATTATAATTTATAAAATACTTAATTTATACATTTAACAACCATGGTCTAATAATATATTTAGCAACTTTATTAAATACTTATCATTTCCTTATAACAATTCATATTAAGAATTAAACATATTGTAAAAAATGTACTGGGGAACACATTAATAACAATGTATTATATTTATCATATTATAGTACATTGTTTACAATATTATTAATAAAATAAAAGTAATCAATTATATAATACAAATATCACAATAAAATCCTGTTTTTAGCAAGTGCACTTGTCAAGATCACGCCGTGGATTTGCAATTAATTATAATTAGCTAGTATACATAAATGTATAGCATTGTTTGTAAAGTTTAATAAGTAACATAATAACAAAAGGGTATATAAAGTGACGAGTTTGAACAAAATTCAAAACAAACATTTGGATAACATTTTTATCTAAATTACAGTAAATTAGCAAAAAAAAAAGTATGAATTTAATAATCACACTTGTTTTTGGCTTGAGTTTGATTTTCGTGCAAGGTAAAATATAACATGAATGCGTATTTATAAAAACATTAAAATAAATTTTTCAATTTTATTAGTGATTTCGGAGGAGAATGCTATCAATTACGGAGAAGAGGCGAACACCGATGCCATAAACCTAAGAGCACATAACCTCCTTATGCCTGTCGGACAGATGATGAAAGCGGCAGAAAAACGGTACAAAAAGCAGGGTTTGACTGTACCCATAGAGTTGTATGGGGACCTCAGAGAGTATGCCATCGATACTATTCCCTGGCTTTTCAATGAGATTAAAGGGATCGCAAACTTTACGGATAGAAACCGAGTGACCGCGCAATACATCGGCGAAATCCACGGACTAAATCATATGAGTAATCGTTTGGATAAACAACGTTTGAGTACACCATTGAACGTAACAGGCACATCTGAGAATCTGCTTGGTAGAATTAAGGCCATAGAAAACTTTATATATGGCTCGTTAGACGATGAAATAGCCAATGCATCGCATCCAGTGCATACTAAATTTCATGCCAGGGTAATTTGTATTTATAATTGTTTATCTAATTATATAAATTTATATAATATACTATTTATAACAAAAAAATTATTATTTTAAATAACTTTAATATTATTTTCCAATTAAATAGTTGAGAGCATTTTTTGCTGCTGAATTTCCCAAACTGTACAAGCTCATCGATAAACTACCATTTGATGAAGCTAAACAGAAAAATCTTCAGTTGCTTGTCGCTGATCTATCGCACGCATTGGTTCCACCTCTTTAAACCACAAATTATAACTTGTCTTATTTAATAATTGACTAATTAAAACATTTTTAATAAATTTAATTTGCATATTAAACAAATGTTTTATGTATTATTAATATAGGGAAACGATTATACAGCTACAATTATGGGCCTTTGACGTAATTAAAATTTATATAAACGTAATATATGTCAAAACCGCATGCTTAGTACTATTTATAATACATAAATATCACAGTACTAGATGGACTTTGTATGTTATAAAAAGGACTAAAATGTTATTGTGAATTAGTGTATTGTTTCTATGGTAATGATGCTCATAAATGTAACATAAAAAACGTATGCTATTAATGCTTGTATAAGAATTTTCCACTGCCTTTACAATAGTTTTATGTAAAAACAAAATGGTTACCGTTTGAATAAATTCCGACATTAATGTATCTGCAATAATAGTAACCTTAGGTTCATCGTGTTGTTTATTAGTTAAAATGATGTTTATTTATTTGTCCGTTACTCCTATGGTAAGAATTAATGAATTTATTATTTTGTGTGCTTCACACAACTCATTGTGAAATGCGTTAAATTCCACATAATTTTAACTGCAATTTGTTCACACAATCCATGTTTACACAATGTTTTTAACATTATGTCTAAATGGCATAGTTTTATGTTTTGAGATTTGGTTCACACAAATGCTTAATTCACAAAACTTATGGTTCACATAGATCATGTTTAATTGTACTGTATACACATTATAATGTGTAAAAAATTGATTAATTAAACAATATTGCTTATCAAAATTGTATATATATTCGAAATTAATGATAACTTTAGTTAATAAACCAAGTAACCAAAACACCCATGCTTAAAATGATCAAAAATTTTATTAAATTAAAAATGTTTTAATTAGTCTATTATTAAATAAAGTTACAATAATTTGTAAATTATAGAGGTGGGATCACGGCGTGTGAGAGATCCTGGATCAGGACTTGAAGGTTGGCTTGTTTAGCCTCTTCAAATGGTATTTTATCAATGGCCTTGTACAATTTCGGGAATTCAGCAGTCATAAATTCCTTTATCTAGTTAATTAGAATACAAAACCAATAATAAAGTATTGCCTTGATAATAACTGTTAAATAATGTGTTAGGATCATAAATATACAATTACCCTGGAATGAAATGCTGTCCAAACGGGATGACTAGCATTTGCAATCTCATCGTCCAATGAAAAATGCATAAAACCTTCCAGCGCTTTAATTCTACCAAGCAGGTTCTCGGACGACCCTGTTATATTCAATGGTGTGCTCAAACGGATTTTGTCCAACCGTTTGCTCAGGTAATTAAATCCGTGAACTTCACCGACAAATTGTGCGGTCACTCACTCTCTAACACTCTCATTGGTTACGGCTTTAAACTGTTCAAAAATCCAGGGAATAGTTGTTATCGCAAACTCCTTGACGTCATCATACAATTTGATGGGTACAGTCAGGCCCTGCTTTTTGTACCGTTTCTCTGCCGCATCCATTATAGTGCCGATGGGTAACACGAGGTTATATACTCTCAGTTGGACGGCATCGGTGTTGGCCTGTTCTCCGTAGTCAATGGGATTTTCCTCCGCAATCACTGAATGGTAGAAAATCATAACTATATGAAATATATTGCTTTTTTGATGTGTTTGCATATGATTTCAGTGCATATATGCCTTTCAACCCTATCATCGGTCAATGGTTAGCACTCATTTGAGTTGACATTTGACTCATCAATAGACAGTAAGGTTGGTAAATTACAAGGATTTTTTTGAAGCCACGTAATTTACATTGTAAAATACAAAAATTCACGTAATATACACGTAATATTACTTACTATGGGGAAAAAATTAACATAGTTTATAAATTAAAATTAAGCTATTTAATTGTATTATTTACACTAATTATACATGGTAGAACCTTTTAAAACTAATTCATTATTAATTATTATATATTTTACAATCGATTTAATTGTTTCTAAATTTATACATCTTATTAAATTTGTATACAGTAAAACCTGATTATAAGAAAGTTATATTTTATACGAGTTGCTGGTTCAATCATTGATTTTCGGCAAAAATTTCATCAATATTTGTCATTCGTTTTTGTAAAATAGTCCAAAACAATTTATTTTGGTTTTGATTTTCTGATTTTAATCGATTATTATTTTTATAAGAACGTATTTTACAAAATGAAAAATTTGTGTACGTAAAATACACTGTAANCAATTTATTTTGGTTTTGATTTTCTGATTTTAATCGATTATTATTTTTATAAGAACGTATTTTACAAAATGAAAAATTTGTGTACGTAAAATACACTGTAAAATACAACGTAAATTACGTACGTAAAATACGTTGTTTGTCATATTGCCAACCCTAATAGACAGACAATAGACAGGAAATGAAATTACAGACTATTGAAACATTTGTTTTAAACTTTGTATTTTCATCAAATAATTTATTAACGGGGGGAGCGGGGGGTTCATCTCGTACTGATTAAACTGACTATTATTGCAATTTATAACGCAAACCATTTGTTGAAAAATTTGAGTTAACTTTGATAACGTATTTTTAATTCATTTTATATTCAAATAGATTTTTCAGTTGAAAGTAAAAGTGTTTCAAAAGTAAAACTTATTAGCAATTAGTTTATTATAAAAACACAAAATGAGTGCAATATTCACAGCATTTCTAGTGATTGTATGCGGAATTCAATCACACGTTTGTGACAACGCTTTCGACAATCATATACTCAGGTATTTATTAAATTGTCATTTGCTTTAAAAATATGTTGCCTTAAAAATGAAAACTTTAATTCAACACTGAGTGTATTGAATGCATAGGACGTGTCGGCAAACGGATCCACAGACAGCAGTGGAATCAATCATATCGTTGCCAAACAATACGATTATCTCATTTCAATCACTAGATATGTTTGGCGTTAGACTCAATGCGACCACAAATCGGGTAGTGATGGACATCGACCCGAACCGATCCAAAGACTCTCATTTTATACGCAATTACTTTGCGTACAATTATATCAAATATCGTCTTTTCGACGTCTCTATGATTGACACTTCAGTTCATATGTTTTTTAAGGAAAGGATATCTCAATCCATTAGTGTTACTAATTATGAATTGAATGGCAATGCGTTCGTTGAACTAAACACTTCAAAACTTGATATTGATTTTCACAAGTATTACCCATTTTTACCCAATGTTACAAATCAAGAAAGAGACAAAATGGTTAGTTTACCATTATAGATGATAAATTTTTAACATTAACTCTCTCTCTCTCTCTCTCTCTCTCTCTCTCTCTCTCTCTCTAACAATAGTTTGCGAAACTATTTTTCTATTATTCGGCGAAACTTTTTCTTTATTTCTATCACTTATTCTTATATATTATTTCTTTAAAAATATTTCATTCATTCAATAATTATTTCAATTTTTCATTTTTTTCTGTCATAAGAATTACTTTATATATAATAATAAGCCTTTTGTTAAATAAATTTAATGAATTGAATATAATTTGTGTGAAAAAACACAATAAAGTATATTATTCTCCATCTATTCATGAAAATCAATAATTATATATATGATACATAGATATACACTATACGTACTAACCATATACGAAATTAATGTATACATACAGAGCCATCGGGGCCTCCATTGCATATCCAAGTGTTCCCATTGAGCGCCCGATCACTGGCCGTAACGTTCAGTCCGCCGGCACTCGAGGCCCGTAACGGCCGTATAGTTGGCTATTATTTAGGCTATAAAGCGCTGGATATGGACTCAAATTACATGTTTAAAAAGTTGTCGA